TCAATGATGAGAGAGAATCATTGATTGGCTACCTCCTGCACACTTCCTACTGAGAATCGAGACCACAACCCGGACATGTGCCCTTGACCAGAATCGAACCTGGGACCCTTTAGTCCACAGGACTCTATCCACTGAGCCAAACTGGCTAGGGCTATTTATACCTTTTTAATGGCACAGAAACCTACCAAGGAACAACAGCTCTCACAATTTCGTTTTCTGATTGTTCTTCATTTTTAGCATTTTTATCACCAACACTAAAAACACATTTTCTCACATTTTAGCATTTCTGAAACCTGAATGTGTTTTACAATTGACCAATTTCAGCCTTGTGTCGCATTACATCACAGTAAGTGTCGGCACTGTTTCTTCTTCATAGAACCTAATATAATGGTGGGTCTACAATCAACGGTGTCTGATGTGCTAAGAAATATGGTGCCATAAATTGTACTTTTTCCTTTTTATGGGTCATTTCCTTTCCCATAAGTGAGATGAGCAGATTTGATCCTAGACATTTTCATGATTCCTGATACACACCATCATTTTTCCCCCAGAATAGCTGTGTTGCCCTAGCTGGTTTTGCTCAGTGGATAGAGCATCAGCCTATGGACTGAAGGGTCCCAGGTTTGACTCTGGTCAAGGGCACATGCCAGGGTTGCAGGCCTGATCCTCAGTGTGGGACGTACAGAAGGCAGCAGATTTATGATTCTCTCTCATCATTGATGTTTCTATCTCTCTCTCCCTCTCTCCTCCTGTCTGAAATCAATAAAAATATATTTTTTAAAAAAAGAAAAGAATAGTTATGTGAGTTGACCCAGCCCCTCTGTAGATGTAGGAATGAGGCGATTGCATAACCAGCATCGAGCATTTCCACTTGCTTTTTTGTTTGCCTAATTTAATAAGGAACTACAAATGAAGGAAATACGAACTGTTTCCATTTGCCTTTCTCTGATTAATAACAATAACTGGAACTCAGTTATTGTAATAGGCATTTTTCCTCATTCCTGTTGGAAACACCAAACAATGATCTCAAGGCTGGGAGGTCCCAGACGCAACTTACCTTTTCGTCCTGGGCAGACATTTTCCTGTCCTCTCTGGATCTGGAAAATAAGAAAGCATTTGTCCAGATCTGTCCTCCTGCCATCATTTGTCTTAGTATGCAACACTTTCTTACAAATTTTTTAAAAACTTGATTAAATATCTGAAAGTTGTAAATAATAAAGTTCGAAGGCCACGTACCTAAAAGAATTGATACAGGCACCCAGTCAAATACATGTACACAAATATTCATAGCCAAAAGGTGGAAACAACCCAAGTGTCCATTAACATATAAATGGATAATAAAAGATGTTATATCCATACAATGGAATGTCATCCAGCCATAAAAAGAAACGAAATACTTTTGTAATATATATAAATATCGAATCATTGTTATACATCTGAAACTAATAAAATTTTGTATGTCAATTAGACCACAATAAAAAATTAGTTTAAAAAATGAAGTACAGTCTGGCCAGTGTGGCTTAGTTGTTGAGCATGACCTATGAACCACGTCACAGTTTGATTCCTGGTCAGGCCACATGCCTGGGTTACAGGCTCGATCCCCAGTAGGGGGTGTGCAGGAGGCAGCTGATCAATGATTCTCATCATTGATGTTTCTTTCTTTCCCGCTCCCTTTCTCTCTGAAATCAATAAAAATATATATATATTTTTAAAGTGAAGTACTGACACATGCTATGATGTCTACAAACCTCTAAAACATTATGCCAGACACAAAACATCACATATGACATGATTCCCTTGATATGCAATATCCAGAATATGCAAATCTGTAGACATAGAAAGCAGATTAGTGGTTGCCAGGGATTGGGGGGCGGGGGTTGGGTGGAGAGGGAAATGAGAAGTGAGTTTAATGGGGATGGGGTTTCCTTTGGGGATGATGAAAATGTTCTGGAACTAGATGGAAGTGGTGGTTATACAACACTGTCGATGCACTAAATGCCACTGAATTGTTCACTTTATAGTGCTTAATTTCATGTTATGTGAATTTAACTTCAATTAATAAAACCCCAGACACATAGATTACAGTGTTGAGATTACTGTGGACAGCAGCAAAGAATCTAAATGTCCACCAACAAGGGGTCTGGTTAAGTCAGTTAAGGTACATCTGAGCAGTGGGAGACCCCAGTGCTGTTAAACCTTCATACATGGATGAGGAAAGATGTGAAAAATATAGTGCCCCCATCACATTATATCACAGTGTGTAGAGTCTGATCCCACCTATGTGAAAAAATTCATATGCATTTTTTACAAGTTTGCAAGGATACAGCCAAATTCCTCACAGTGGTTACTGCTGGAGAGAAAGGGAATGATTAGGGGGTATTTTCCTTCTCTCAGCTTTTGGACAGCCTCAACTTTTACAATGACCATGTGCTACTTCTTAAAAATTATTTGTTACATAGTGACATATACATGTAGTAAAAAGTTTAAATAACACAAAAAGACAAGTTTCCTTTCTACCCAATCTTCTCAGAAGCAGCCACTCTTACCACTTTCCTATGTTGCCTTTGCAAGCACATGTATACTTATTCCTTTTCTCTTTCTTTTTTCCTTAAACAAACGTGAGCCCCACACTCGGCTCTGAACCTTGCTCATTTCCCTTTAGGGTGTGGCGGACTGAACATTGGCCCCCTGAGGATGCACACATCCTCACCCTATTCCTCGGGATCTGTAAACACGTCACGTTACCTGGCAAAAGGGACTTTGCAGATGGGATTACGTAAAGGATCCTGAGAACCCCAGTGGGCCCAATGTAATGAGAATCAGACACAGAAGGAGATGTGACCACGGAGGGATAGGTTGGAGTCAGAGAGAGATTTGAGGATTTTATGCTGCTGCCTTTGAAGATGGAGGGAAGGGGGCATGATCCAAGGAATGCTGGCAGCCGGTAAAGGCAAGGATACAGATTCTCCCCTAGACCCCCAGAAGGAACACAGCCCTGCCAACACCTTGATCTTGGCCAACTGAGACTGATTTACCCCCAGAACCCCCAGAAGTCTAAGATAATATATTTATGTTTTTTTCAGCCACCAAATTGTGATCATTTGTTCAGCACGTAGGTTGTTTCCCAATCTTCTGCTGCCCCGTGTTCCAATGAATAACCCTGCACACCGTGTGCTACTTTTATCATTTAAAAAAATACCATCTTGAAAAAAAATTCACAAAGACTTAAAAAAATAAGAGGTTTCTTTCTCTCCCCACAGTACCATACTAAGGGGCACTTAGAGGCGTTTTTGCTGCTTGATTGGCAGAGCAGTTTCTGCAACCAGCACAGTTTGACTCCATGGGTTCCTGTTCCAGCCCCTGGGGGCCCTCCCTCTACTCTCATGAGATGGGTTCAAGTGGAACCATTACCACAAGTGAAGGTGAAGGGAAGAATGAAGGTGCCCTGCAGATTTCCTCCCTTCACAAGGCAGGAAACAGAACTAGCACATCCGTTGAAAAGGATCCAGCTTCAATAATTCAAGCAACAGAAAATTTAATTAAGCCTATTTTTTCATCATTCACATAGCTTTTATTTATTTATTTTTTTAAAAAAATATATTTTACTGATTTTTTACAGAGAGGAAGGGAGAGGGACAGAGAGTTAGAAACATCGATCGATCAGCTGCCTCCTGCACACTCCCTACTGGGGATGTGCCCGCAACCAAGGTACATGCCCTTGACCAGAATCAAACCTGGGATGCTTCAGTCCGCAGGCCAACGCTCTATCCATTGAGCCAAACTGGTTAGGGCCAAGCAACAGAAAATTTAAACCTACCATGACCTCCCCATTAAAATAGACAAAACAAATAAAAATGAGAACACCCAATGCTCATAGGACTGTAGAAAAACTTGCACATATTGCTGGGGATAACTTTTTTAAACAGTCATCAGGTGGTAAGTGGCATGTGCCTTCAGAATGATCATATCCTTGACTTGACCAGTTTGGGAACTATCTCTCAAAGAAATCCCTTGGTAGCAAAAAAAAACAAAACACGTACAATTTGGACAAAAAGTTGAAAATGAAGTTGGTATTACGGCTAGAACCTGGAAACAGCGCATAGACCCCACGTTAGGGAAAAGCTCAGGAAGGCAGTGGGCAGTTAGGAGGAATGGCAATGATGAGGTCTGTGTAGAAATGTAGAAAGATTGCTGTTAAGCAACCTCTGCATGGTTGCACACACTGCCTGCAATCGCACATAATGATCAGAACTATGTGCCAGGTACAGTGCTGGGTTCTGAAGAATCCAAAGTGAAGAGGCAAGAAAAAGGTCAGGGCCCAGGAAGGCTGGCATTTGAGCTGGGGAGACAACTGAGGATCCAAGGAAACGCATAAGCAAGGTAACATCACCCAGGGCCGAGCATTGGAAGGAAAAACAGTAATGCATCCGAGAGCAGGCAAGCGTGGCCTCTGCAGTGGGGTGGGTGGTCAGGGCAGACTTCTGAGTCTTTTATGGTGGTCCCTGAATTGCAAGGAGACCAGTCACAAGAAGATGGCAGGGAAGAACATTTCCAGGAGGAGGAGGAGGAGCACGTGCAAAGGCCCTGAGAGAGCAGAGAACTCAGCATCTCCGAGGAGAGAAGTGTGGCTACAATGGGCAGTGGAGTGAGAGGAGAATCAAGACTCAAGCAGGCCGGATCAATGCTGAGGACCTGGGGGTGGGAATGGTCAAATACAGAACGTGCCGAGGGATAGAAGCTGCTGTGGGCCTAGATGTCAGGACGAGGAGAAGAGCGGGTATGGGAGCAAGAAAACTCTGGGCTTCCTCCTTCTTGCTCAACCAGTGGTGGGGGAGGGCTTGGGGAATGCAGAGCAGTTCTGGAATTGTGTAAGCGGCAGCCTAAAGATTTTCAAACACCTGCTCCTACCAGCCTTCCCTCCAAAGGGTCAGAGCAGGGAGAAGTTGCCACCCCAGCCTTGGTCTTACTCAAGAAGCTTCAGCTGCTGGCGGGGTTGTCCGGAAACCCTGCAGATCTCAGATAGCTCTGACCGACCTCAGGTTAAAGATGTGCTCTCAGAGGGACAGCGATGGGGATGGAGGGGGTTACAGCTTGGTCCAGGCACTAGGCTTCACACCAATCATCTCTCATTTAATCTTCTCAGCCATCCTGTGAGGCAGGCACCATGCTAACCCCGTGGGACCCAGAAGGAAACTGAGGCACGGAGAGGTGAGGTCCCATGGCTAAGTCCACAAGAGCCCCCTGTGCCCCGAGGAGGTGCTGAGTAAAGGCCTGGGAGTTCCTGGAGGACGTTTGCCCTGCTTCCCACCACTCCTGGAGTTAGCCTGGCGCCAACCACCATGCTTACTTCTCGCACCCCTCACCCAGGCGAAGCATTTGCTGCTCTGGGGGTTCTTCCTGCAGGGACAGGCTGGCTGGCTCATTTCCGCGGCCTCCTGGGATACCCCCCCACACACTGCCTCTCCCCTCCACTTCTCTCCCTGCAGCCCAGGTGGGGGTCAGGGCAGGGACGAGGAATACATGGATTTAGGGGTTCACACCAACCTGGGTGTAAGTCCTGGCTCTGCCTCCTTTGTGACCCCAGGCAAGTGGCTTGGCCTCTTTGAATCTCCGCTTCTCCACCTGTGAGAGGGAGATAAGGATGGTACCTCCTCACCTGTTGCTGCTGCCTGGCCTGTGACCAAGTGAAGGCACCTGTTCCAAACTCCAGACAAAAGGGTAGCTCTTCTGCCAACACCCTCACTTCCAAGGGGGATAACTGGGGACAAGAGGGACTTCTCCCAGGTCCTGTGAGTGTCGTCTCCTGTCCTCCCCTCCTATGGACTCTAGGACCCCTGGGCAAGGCAGGGGTTCCAGGGCGGAAATCACTGCCCGCCCCACGCGCTGGGAAACGCTAGAACTGCGGGCACCTGAGGGCGGCCTGGATCCCCGGGGTCCCAGCAGGAAGGCGGGGGTCCCGCTCTCCTCGAGGGCTCGGGCTGGGGCGCAGAGAGAAGGGGCTGCGCATCGAGAGGGGGCGCGTC